ACGGTCTTCGCATTCGAAGCCGCAATCACATTTGAACTCGTCGTCTTCCTCGTCTACCGTCCTATGTCTTCGTCGACGTTCTCGAAGGCCTATGTCCCCGGTCCTGAATTTGACCTTAAGCTTTGTTCCTGCATCCATTGGTCCATGTAGGTACTCCTTGAACCCTACTCCTTCCTTCGACATTCCGTACACTTCTAGACCCTCCTTATCCTTGGATTCTTTCCTCAGATTCTGTTCTTCTCTCTCGGCACAAGCAACAGATATCTTCTCCTTGAACCCCTGTAGACCCTCCGTTTCCAGCGTTTCATCTTCGTCGATGTCGAGCCCCTTCCATACGTCCTCTACAACCTTGACCCATTCCGTGGGTTGTCTACCCCTCTTTTTGTTTGCCCACTTCGCCTCCCATACAATTCTCGGCAACCTCTCCTCTCCCATCCCGCACATGCGATACTGCCATGTCAGCTTCCTCGCGTCTCTTCCCGACCGTAGGGATTGGATCCTGCCCTGACGGCTGCATTACTTGTGCGCTTGGAGCATCCTAGAATGATTTTCGCTGGTTTCAACTGCGCCACCTCGAGTTCTTTCACTCCCTTGATATTTCCTTCCCATACTTCTCCGGCGTACTCTCNGACGGCTGCATTACTTGTGCGCTTGGAGCATCCTAGAATGATTTTCGCTGGTTTCAACTGCGCCACCTCGAGTTCTTTCACTCCCTTGATATTTCCTTCCCATACTTCTCCGGCGTACTCTCGCGGCGGTACGATAACGCTCTTCAAAACCGTCAATTTGATGCGTGTATCGAGGTGCCGGTTTGCGAGTATTGGGTGTAGCTTCCCTGCGAGAGAGGGGGTGCTTTATTTTCTTATATCGGTCGTTTGGACAAGAGCTCGCTTTCGCTACGTGTAACTGTTGTCTCCGGCTTCGCCGTCTATCCGTAGTCAAAAATCAATGGTATTGCTTTCTTCACGGATCATCTCCATGATCAATGTCCGTGGGTGGTGCAGGGGAAAACTCAACAAGGACAGGAACCATATATTGGATACTGCTGGGGTTTTCGGGGCGGTAGGAGGGGGAATGCTTTGTTTAGTGTCGGGAGAAGGCAGTCGTATTTACGAGTGCATGTGCATTGTGGAAACGCGCCGTCGGCACGTGTAGCTGTTATCCCCGATTGAGTCGTCTTTCCCTCACCTTTCGACAACGATTATATCGTGCGGCATGCACGGACCATCTCCATGATCGACGTCGCTGGTGGAATTAAAAAGACAAACGATACTTTAACATGTTTTTTTATTAATTTTTGGTTTCGCTTAGGGTTCGTGCAACTCTAGAGTTGTCGACAACGGGCTCGAGATGATGAGTCGCGATACTGTTCTGATACCCGCATTGAAAAAAAACTGGATGAAAGGGAGGAAAAAAAAAGGCCATGATGGGTTATTGAACCCACGTTGTTACTGAGCAGCAATGGTACTGCTGTTTCGATACCCGCATGGAAAAAAATTTGGGAAAGAAGGGAGAGGGGAAAACAAGGTTATGGGNAGTCGTTAGACCATTGACCTCGCATCCCTACAAAGCCGGGACGGAGCACGCCGGGTTCTCACCGGACCAGGGGGGGGAATTAAACCCACGTTGTCGTTGCTGACCAAAAAAGTTACACCCTTAGACTAGTCAGGCTGATAACTTTATCTTATAAAAGATATGCTCAGAGCTCATATGGACCCGCCTGGATCACTTGGGTTTGTTGCTTGAGTCGAGTTCTCCGGGGACGGACCCCTCGCCAGACGCTGATAGAAAAGAACTTGATGATGCTTGGGAAAGTGAATAGCCGGGATTGGACCCCGTGCGTGAGACTTTTGTCGCCAAATGTTAAACCATTCGTCTAGTCAGCACAGCTCATTAGCACCCGGCTGGCCGGATCACTTGGGTTGTATGGCTTTGGAGAGAAGGGATCTCCGGGGACGCACCCCTCGCCAGACCAGCAGCTGGTCTGGCGAGGGGTCCGTCCCCGGAGATCCCTTCTCTCCAAAGCCATACAACCCAAGAGATCCGGCCAGCCGGGTGCTAATGTGGGTATCAGCGTCTGGCGAGGGGTCCGTCCCCGGAGATCCCTTCTCTCCAAAGCCATACAACCCAAGTGATCCGGCCAGCCGGGTGCTAATGTGGGTATCAGCGTCTGGCGAGGGGTCCGTCCCCGGAGATCCCTTCTCTCCAAAGCCATACAACCCAAGTGATCCGGCCAGCCGGGTGCTAATGTGGGTATCAGCGTCTGGCGAGGGGTCCGTCCCCGGAGATCCCTTCTCCCCAAAGCCATACAACCCAACCAAGTGATCCGGCCAACCGGGTGCTAATGAGCTGTGCGTATATCTGTTAATAATAGCCAGAGTTACACCATTATACAATTATAGTCTAATATTATAAATTTATTATTTTTTTGCCTCCCGACAATTAACTACAGATGTACCTCAGAAAACTTTCACTTAATGTCTCATACTCTACATGAATATTAAACCAATACGAAGTACAACAACATATTATAATATGTAATATAGGACTTATTTCTACTGTCACTTACATCTTAAAAATATCTCCTATTATTCAGTTTGAAATAAAACCAATGACAATCCTCATGGTATCCTACATGCGTTCGTATGCTTGCTGAAATACTACTGCGGTGATGTCCTCTTGTAAAAGCTGAAATCCAACAAATGCTTTGATCCATGTTACATCTCCGTGTTGGAAAAGCCCTTTATTCTCCGTTCATGATAACATCTTACCCTATTCTACGCAAAACTAATATTATAGTAAAGTTCCCCAATCAAAGTTGATCAAATCCGGTCGGATTGGATGAGCGTTTATCAACGTCCGGAACAACCAGGCTGTAACTTTCATGAAAGTTCCGTGAAAGTTTCATAATAACTTTAGCCCAACTTTCATCGCAGTATTGCTATGAATTTGTCGTCAAAGTTGAAAATATTCCCGTGACTTGGCGTTACATACATACATACATGTGAAATGTTGTGTTTTCGAATAATAAAGCACATGCCTTTGGGGGTTGTTCATTGTGTGCTTTTCCCTGCAATATCACCTTTGACCGAATCCTGATCATTTTTCGTCACACTCTGGCCAACTTTCACCGAATGTGGTGAACGTTGATCAACTTTGACCCAAGTTGGATCAGCTTTCGCATCGCACAACCACATAATTTGACCACAATTCCATCACCTTTCGCCGACTGTGATCGCTGTTGGACAAAAGCGATCGGACTTTGGCCACCATTCATCGCGCACCCATCAAACTTGACCCCACTTCCGTCAACTTGCACCGAACTGCAACTAACAACATATTCGCACGATTGAGAGCGAAGTATCTGATTGAGAGCGAGATCGTGCGATACGATGTAGCTTGTCTACTGCTGAGAGGTAGAGCTTGCTGTGCGGCTTGAATTGAAGGGCTTGCCCATAGCTACAAGCCGATACCCGGGTCATCCTGCGGGTGTCTCGCGTTGTGGAGCTACACCGCGGAGCAGAAGCCACGGGAGGGCCTAGCGCGCCAAGCGATGGCGCCCTGAAACAGTTTTGGGCAGGAATAGCCAATCTGGGGAAATCTAGCAACGTGCGTAGCTCCTCGCTGCTGCAGCCGATCGCAGTGACACGCATATGCACGCGAAGCTGCTGAAGAGAGCTTCAGTTTGCGCCGCTTTTTGGAAGAGCCCGTCCCCTGCTTCCCGAGAAATGACGGGAGGCGTCTGGACCCGAATTTCGATTTTTTTTGGTTCTCGCTCTCAATCGGAAACTTCGCTCTTAATCGTGCGAAAACCTTGTTAACTTTGTCTAGGCCAACAATGACCGAAATCCGGTCACCTTCCAACCAATCCTTATCACCGTTCGTCACACTCTGGCCAACTTTCAACGAATGTGGTGAACGTTGGTCAACTTTGACCCAATTGGGTCAGCTTTCGTATCGCACAATCGCATTTGACCACAGTTCCATCACCTTTCGCCGACTGTGATCGCTGTTGGACAGCAAGCAGCGATCGGACTCTGGTCACCATTCACTAAATTCTCATCATGTTTCGCAAAACTTTCGCCAACTTTCGCATACATACTTCATGAACGGTGTTCACCATTGGCCGAACCGTCATCAGCTTTTATATCGCACAATGAAATTGCCCATAGTCGTATCAACTTTGGCCTATTGACCCGAACATACATGCTCGTCAACAGTGCACGACGAACTCTTGTCTGTCACAACTCATCGAGCCATTGCCACATTTGACCGCACTTCCGTCAACTTGCACCGAATGAAACTGTGTCAGTCTGTCAACAATGGCATATGTTTTGGTCACCTTCCCCTGAAAGATGGAAGCATTGTTCGTCACACTTGCTTTCTTTCGCATTCTTTCATCGAGTGTGCTTGTTCAACAAAATATACCCCATCTCACAGACGCGGGTCGCATTCAATTTTTTTGCCGGATGAAGCAGCGACGTGATCCCTGAATGAACCCTAATAATATATGTGGTATTGCTGCACCTAGGGTTGATCAGAGACGACCATCTGACCAATGTCGGCGTCGTCCGCTCTATTCGTGTCTTATGAGAACACCAGTCAGTTTCTTCGACATGAACTTCTCCGACAAGAGTGGATGAGGAGGTTGGTGTTGAGGATGAAGTGTCCGACGGGGCGCGGCATCCGCTTCACGACGTGACCACAACCTGATTTGACGAAATTGACAACGAGTTCCACACCGCAGGAAGGGCGTTCATCGTTCTGGAGAAAAGTAAGGAGTGCTTTGGTTGTATATTGGCTGTTATCATGTCGTCGTGAGGGTTTAATTGGGTTAAAAACTTTTTTGTGTCGAGTGACGCTCAGTCCCTAAATAAATGCTGACCATTGTGAAATTTAACAAGCAATGGGATGTCGCCAGGTCGTCCTCACGTGCGACCATGGAGTTATTACTCTCGGCCATGGGAACGTTCCAGAGAAAGTAAGTACGGCTCGTCGTCCTCGCCGCGGCCCCGCAACATTGGATCGTCGGCTTGTTTGGGCCACAGAATCCCATCCCGCGCAGTGCCACTCTCGATGATTTTCGTGATGGCACCTACGAGGGTGTGTGAAAAGTGAACTACGCGGGGTGCAGCAAGCACTTTCTGGACGTTACTTTGGGGCACTGGGTAGTCGGCCGTGTTAGGCCGAGAGAGAGAGGTTGAGAGAGAGTTGGAGAGAGAATGGGAGAAGGAAACTTGATTGCAGAGAGACGGTGGTGGTGGAGGTGTAGAGAGAGGGAAGGAGAAGTAGTGTAACTTGTTCCTTTCTTGTGCATAATGGTGCTTGGGAAAGTGGGTAGCCGGGATTCAAACCCGTGCGTGAAACGTTTGTCGCCAATTGTTAAACCATTTGTCTAGTCAGCGCTGACTAGTCTAATGGTGTAACTTTATCTTACAGCGTGGTTGTTACATGACCGACTGATGAAAATTATATAGGCAGTCGTGGGTCTTGTTTGGGCCACAGAATCCCGCGTAGTGCCACCCTCGATGATTTTCGTAACGCCATCTGCGAGGGGGTGGTTGTTAGGTGACCGACTGATGAAAAATATATAGGCAATCGAAGAAGGTCTGTTACAGTCCTGTTATATAACGGCCCGGAGGATCGATTGTCAAAACTCGCTTCATCAACAGCAGAATGAGGGGCAGCGCCGAAAACAGCGGCGTCGAAGCCGTCTGGTCGACAGCTCTCCGAAAACGAATCGATGCGTCAATAAATCCTCTTCGTCGTGGAGTAATCGAGCTTGCGAAAATCGGGCCAGGGTATGATAATCTTGTGCCGTACTGTATACATACGCGGTACACAGTAGATATGGACTGCCAGGTATTAGGGGCATCGTCGCGATTCACGGCCATCACCCTTGTAATAAATGTGCTGTATTTTTTTATACGCCCTATCCTCCGCAGTTCAGGGAAGAAGTTCGATACTTAGCGTGAAGTGA